TATTACATATATAATAATAATAATAATAATATGTAATATATATATATATATATATTACATATATAATATAATAATAATAATATAAATAATAATAATATGTAATATATATATACACGAATAAAAGATTTAGCTTTCAGCTTCGTTCTTCAATTTCGTTAGAAATAAAAACCGTACAAAATTGCAAGGTTATTCATTGTTTCCAAAACTGTTTCTGGTTAAAACATTGTTTATCAGCCAAGTAGCGAGACGTCTAAATTAAACAAATTTTGCCGATTCATACCCTAAGAACTATTACCTAAAATGTGACGTCCAAACAAAATCCTCCCCCCTCCCTCCCCTATGCAGACGTACCGATGATCCACAGCGTCGCAAGCGCAAATATTGAAGAATTCCACGGATCTGCTTCAGGGAACGTGAGGAGCTTGATGAAGGTGGCGAACGCGAAGAGCCGCTCCGGCGTGGATACGTTCGTGATTTATCTGAGCGCTGGCAACGGCCGTGCAATCGGGCCGGGTTTGGACACCGACGAGTCCTATACCCTGGAGATAGTGCACAAGGGAAAAGTCCTGGAGGCGCGGATCACCGGGAACAGTTACTTCGGGGTCAGACACGGCCTGGAGACGCTTGGACAGATGATCTGGTGGGACGAGCTCGTCGGAAGGGAGGGCGCGCTGCGGGTGTTGTCCCGCGCTTCCGTCGAGGACAAACCGGCGTTTCCTTATCGGGGATTGCTGGTCGATACCGGAAGACAGTTCTTCCCTATCCAGAGGCTGAAGAGGGTGATCGACGGTATGGCAGCCTCGAAGCTGAACACGTTCCACTGGCACCTGACCGACTCGCAGAGCTTCCCCTTCGACTCGGCCCAGTTCCCGGAGATGGCTAGGTGGGGCGCGTACAGCGGCGATCAGATCTACACGCCCGACGATGTCAAGGATCTCGCAGATTACGCGAGAGTCCGAGGTGTCCGGGTGCTCGTCGAGATCGATTCGCCCGCCCACGCCGGCGCTGGATGGCAATGGGGTGAGTCGGCGATTCACGGTTCCTTCGATAACTTGTCGAACGGTCTGAAACACCCGTCCCTGATAGCTTCTTCTTCTTCTTCTTCTTCGAGGTACAATCCCGTTTTCGGACATTTCGTCGGAATGTGTAATTTCTTCCGGAAATGCTCGGAATCGAGACCGGAAGATCTGAAAACACCGAGACGCGATTCTTCTTCGTTCGCCGGTTTACCGGAGACTGTCTTCAAGTTTCGTCGCGGATCGAGTAACAACGTTTAAAATTTGTTGCCTGAATTTTCGAGACATTTTAACCCTTTGCACTCGAAGCTATAATTATTAATTATAGCTTAATTAATTTTAATATAATTATTAAACATATTTTCTGATCTACAGTGTTTCTATCTTATATGATTTACTGCGATTTATGCGTATGGAAGTCTATTGGCAAGTACAAAACTTGCAATTCTAAGAGTTTTTTTTAGATATAAACGAGTCTGATACTGTTACAATTATTTTGAAAAATAATGTAGTAATTTTTAGTGGCGCCTCGGAGTCGTCACTCGAGTGCAAAGGGTTAAAACGTAAACAATATTACTATCGGTGAAAGAGAAATAAGTTTCTGAGTTACAGTAATGTCTCTCCAATTGACGCCCGGATTGCGCACAAAAATAGATAATTTGAGAAGAGATACGATTATTCGAGCCTCGAGGTTTAGTTTTATAGTTATAAATTGTCCACGATAATAAAAACGAGCCGCAAGGCTCGAATAAAATCGTATCTCTTCTTTCCAAATTATTCATTTGGACAACATGAGACACCAGTGAGGGACAATCTGAGCGTCAGTAAGGGAGACATTACTGCACATCGAATTTTTCGCGAGCGTCTTATATAGTTTCGTCGCTATTCCGTCGAACGCGTTCCGAACACGAAGTCGCTCCGAAAAATCGCGGACGACAAGGTATTAACCTTTCAGGCCCGACGCGCCACTATAGTGGCTTTCGCGGATGTCATCTTTCAGAACGACACACCAGTATAGTGGCTTTCGCGGATGTCACCTCTCTGGACGACGCGCCACTATAGAGGCTTGCTCTAGTAGCTCACTCGCTCATCGTTTGAACCAAATAATCGTCTTCATATGCATTGTTTCACACTTCTTTTGTCTTCGCATCGATTTACAACAATCTACAGGGTGTCCCAAAAATGTCTCGCAATCCGGAAATGGCGGGTTCCTCGGATCATTTGAAGCAACTTCTTCCTTTACAAAAATGTTCTCCGAGGCACCGTTAACGAGTTATTAACGAAAAACAGTGACCAATAAGAATCGAGTACGGCTGACGCGAGGCGGCCCAGTCAACCAGTGCGCGAAGCCCAGTTCCGCTCATTGGCTCGATCGCCTCGCGCCAGCCGAGCTCGCCTCTCATTGGTCACTGTTTGTCGTTAATAACTCGTTAACGGTGCCTCGGAGAAAATTTTTGTAAAGGAAAAAGTTGCTTCGAATGGCCCGAGGAACCCGCCACTTTCGGATTGCGAGACATT